CGCAGCCGGCGCCGGCTGCAGCCCCCGGCCCAAGTATCAGGCGGTGCTGCCCATTCAGACGGGCTCTCTGGTGGCGGCGGCCAAAGAGCCTACGCCCTGGGCTGGGGACAAGGGTGGGGCGGCTCCCCCAGCTGCCACCGCCTCGGACCCGGCGGGACCCCCACCACTACCTCTGCCCGGGCCGCCACCTCTCGCGCCCACCGCCACTGCCGGGACCCTGGCGGCCAGCGAGGGCAGATGGAAGAGTATGAGGAAGAGCCCTCTCGGGGGTGGCGGCGGCTCGGGAGCCTCCAGTCAGGCCGCCTGCCTCAAACAGATCCTTCTGCTGCAATTGGACCTCATCGAACAGCAGCAGCAGCAGTTGCAGGCCAAGGAAAAAGAGATCGAGGAGCTCAAGTCCGAGAGAGACACGGTACGGGAGGGGTTAATCTGCAGTAGCGACGGGGAGCGAGTTGTGCGCATGCTCGGGGGAAGGGGGCTGTAGGAGGCAGAGGTCCCCGCTTGGTTAGGGTTAGAGGAAGTTAGCCACCAGCGATGCAGTGCCTTAGATGCTGGGTCGTTAGGAGCCTGGCTCACTGACACGTTGGGTTGGAGGGAAGGGTTAAAGGGCGACTTTCAGTATGTGTGTGTGGGGGGGGTAGGGGAAAGGTTTCGGTTGCTAAAGGGTTAATTTAAAATGACAGCCCCGGACTTGTGGGAAAGACGTTTAGAGTGGGAAAAGACCGATTTATGAGGGGTTAAAATGACAGGGTGGGGTGCAGACGTGGTGGCTGTCTAGAAGGGGTTAAATTAAAGCGCTGTTGCGTTAGAAACGCATTGTAGAGGAGAGGGACATAACAGCTGTTGCTCCAACCACTGCTGCAGCATCTTTAGCCAGGAGGGTTGTCATAGGTCTTACAGCCGGTAGAGGGTAAAGATGGCTTATTTGGAATCCCATTTCAGCTTTCCTAAATGAGAGTCACTGCCTTTGATTTCAGATAGCTTTTTTAGTAGGAATCTGAATTATAAAACACTACTGACCAAGTCCCTTGAATAAACTGTAAGATTTTGAGACATTGAGCTTATTCAGTATGTTCAATAGATCCTTCCCCCTCCCAGACCCGTTTTAGAATCTCGAGGTAGTGGAGAAGTCGTTTATTTCTTTGTACTTCTGAGGAACATGACTATATAGGTTTGTTTTCACTGCTGCAGCAGTTTTAGGTACCTCCATGTTAAGCACAGTCCCTCACACACAGGGAAGCTGGTGTGGTTGGGGTATTACTGTGCTAACATACCTTTTAGCTGCCTAAAAATAAACATGGTTTCTACAGTTGTGTTCAGGCTGCAGCTCTCTTTCTCACTCTCCTCTCTGGTGCTGTGTGCACCAAAGGCTGAGCAGGGGAGCAGAAGAGCAATTCATTTTGTTTGTTTTCTAAATGAATCGCCATCAGGCGACTGTTAGGTTGGAGATTACATTCTGCAAGGTGGAATGAGAGCTGGGGCAGCTCTTACTGAAACACCTCAGTGTTGATTTGTGGAAGTTGCTCAACATGGAGGTGGCACTGCTCAGCTACTGTACTGCAGTCTAGGGGTGTGATGGTACTGTAATTACAACACATCATATCCTTCCTTCCATGGGAAGAGGGTGGGAAGAGAAAGATCAGTAAAAGAGAAGAAACCAAGAATATGTCACCCACAACACATGGTTAAGTAATGCTAAGGCTGTGAATCAAAACAGAAGATGAAACGAGAGAATGGCTGTCAAGGGGGACACTGCTGATTGTGGAGGTTTCACTGATTTCATGAGGTAATGCCCCCTTCGTAGGCTTTTTGAGGTAGGAAAAAGTGGGGTGAGTTAAGAATAAAGTATCAGTCTAAACTTGGCTTTTATTGCTTCTCTTGTGTACTTCAGTCTTAGCATTGCTTAAGCTTGTTTCTCTTATCCCAGTTATTATTTGCCCTCTACCGAAATCTATGCAATGGATGTAATAAAGTCAGGATTGGTATAACTGTCTAATCCAGGCAAAATTCTTATAGTATGGTGTAAGTAGCACTTTTTTGTCAAAACTGAGTTAATAGGAAGTCTTTTTATGACAATTCCATTTTCTGTTTGATTTTTGTGGTTCTCTTTAATTAGAATGAAAATAATTTTAACAGTTATTTAGATAAGTTATTTTTCGTTGTCTCAAATGCAAAGCAGAAAAAATAAAATCATTTTGTTGGGATTATATTCCTGATATCTATTATAAAATTCTTTACACTATAGTGTTTTAGAAGTACTCCCTCAAATATGCACACATAACATTTTGATATGATACTGCTATCCCTAGTGACACTGTGCTCCTGATTCCTTTTTACTGTACTGTTTGAACATTCCATTGTGTCTAGAGTTTTAGAGTGAACATAGAGCATATAGAATTTGGATAACCTTAGGACACTTTAAAAGAACACGGGGCTGAGAATGTAGCTCAGTGGTACTCAGAGTGCTTGCCAACACACACATGAGGCCCTGGTTCTATCCCTAGCATCACATCCAACAGTGAAGAACATATATATACACACACAAGGTTAACTTTAAGACTCCTAAATGACTTGGAGCCACATGGCTAGCTGTAGCAGAGACCTTGTCATTAAAGGGCACACTGGCCCCACCCAGTGGAGAGGATCTTCTTTCAGAAGAAAGAGCTTAGAATTGCCCCATCCCTCTTAGCATCCAGACTAACTCCTTCAATTAAGTGTCTTTTGCCTTTATTGGGTTTAAGGAAAGCTATTCAGATTCATGTCTGCCAATTCAAAGTAAAGTTGAGTTGAATTGGTAGGGTCCATGGCAACATGCAGAAGACTGCTGAGTTCTAAATGGGGCTAATTGCTCCTGCTTAACTTTTGTGTGTAAGTTGGCATCTCGTCACTTTTCTTCTAGCTCCTTGCTCGGATTGAACGTATGGAAAGGCGGATGCAGCTGGTAAAGAGGGATAACGAGAAAGAAAGGCACAAGCTGTTTCAGGGCTATGAAACTGAAGAGAGAGAGGAAACAGAGTTGTCTGAGAAAATTAAACTGGAGCGCCAGCCGGAGCTTTGTGAGACATCCCAGGCTCTGCCTTCCAAGCCTTTCTCATGTGGACGGAGTGGAAAGGGACACAAAAGGTGTGCTGATAACTTTATTTCAACTCTCTGAATAAGATGAGAAACAGTTACTGATGAGTGAGGGATTGGGATTATGAATTGGCTTTCTAGCAACTATAGCCTGAATTGAGAAGTCTCTTAGGCTAGCTAGGGGCATGGTGGCTCACACCTGTAATCATAGCACTTAGGTTATTGAGGCAAGAAGATTGTTGTGAGTTCAAGGCCAGGCTGGGCAAAGGAGACCCTGTTTTAAACAAACAACCCCTCTTCCCCAAGTTTCTGTGTTGAGAAATTGTCTTGAAGCATTTTTTTATGTCACAGTACTAAATCCAGAGTACATCTTAAAGAGAATGGATAAAAAATGTTACCTTGTTGAATATAGTAGGGAGTAGAATAGTTAGGTATGTTTTTTCTTTTTCAAGATAGGGTTTTTCTGTGTAGTCCTGGCTGTCCTAGAACTTGCTCTGTAGACCAGACTGGCCTCAAACTCATACACCAACCTGCCTCTGCCTCCTTAGTGCTGGGAATAAGGGCGTGTGCTATCACCACCTGGCTCAGTTAGGATATTCTTTTTTGGGGGGGGTGGGGTTTCGAGACAGGGTTTCTCTGTGTAGCTTTGGAGCCTGTTCTGGCACTCACTCTGGAGACCAGGCTGACCTCAAACTCACAGAGATCCGCCTGCCTCTGCCTCCTGAGTGCTGGGATTACAGTTAGGATATTCTTAATCATAGATGCTTGCTCATTCACCAAAGGCATGTTCTGTATACTTTCAGGCATGACACTTGCTGCCCCTGTCTTCCAAATGAGCAATAGATGATAGGTACCTGGATACCTCTCTTGCCTTCAAACATATTCTAATCAAATTTTATTCAAAAGTCAATTAATTTTATAACATTTCTTTCCTACCTAATAGGAAAACCCCATTTGGAAATACAGAAAGAAAGACTCCTGTTAAAAAGCTGGCTCCTGAATTTTCAAAAGTCAAAACAAAAACTCCTAAGCACTCTCCCATTAAAGAGGAACCATGTGGTTCCTTATCAGAAACTGTTTGTAAACGTGAATTGAGGAGCCAAGAAACCCCAGAAAAGCCCCGGTCTTCAGTGGATACCCCACCAAGACTCTCCACTCCCCAAAAGGGACCCAGCGCCCACCCCAAGGAGAAAACCTTCTCAAGTGAGATGGAAGATTTGCCGTACCTTTCCACCACAGAAATGTATTTGTGTCGTTGGCATCAGCCTCCCCCATCACCGTTACCATTACGGGAATCCTCTCCAAAGAAGGAGGAGACTGTAGCAAGTAAGGCTTAGAGAACACTTGCTCTTATACCCTAGTGGTGGCGGTCAAGCTAACAAGTGTGAAATGCCTTTGGCATTTTTTAAAAAGTGCAATCAATAAAGCAGAGTTCTGTCAAGAATGAGTAAGTTAACAGCCAGAGACAGACACTGTGCAGGCATTGCAAATAGATGGAATTACAGCAAAATGTGCTCAATGTATGTGTCTGCTTACAACACTGGGAGATGTGTTTGCCAGTAAGTTGCTCATCACAAGAGCACCAGACTTGGGGGTGTAATCTCCGGCAACTTGCATGCCCTCTGAAAGAAGGGTTTTCTGTGCTGTGAAATGCATAGAACTTACACTTTGCCGTGCACGACTGTTCCTGCATTGATATTGTGTGAAACCTGGGAGGGTGGTCTTTGGGTGTTCTCAGGGGCCAATGGTAATTTTTGGTTGGGGAGCCAGCTTGGGGTGGGGAATTTCACCTGGGCCTCCGCTCTCTAACTACATAAACATTTATCTGTATCTCTATGTCCCGGTCTGGGGGCAGGAGGGATCTGCCAAAGGCCAACAGTCTTATTTACCTTACTACACTTCACAAGGTTCTAAGATGTGAAGAGTTGACTTGGATTGCAGTAGCCCATTGGTTGTTCATATATTTAAATAAAATGGTCTACAAACTATTTTTCAAACAATAAGGACTATCTTGGGATATCTGAGCTGCTTGGGGAGGGGGTGGGGTGTGGGAACTTGGTCTTTATTTCTGTTTATTTTCTTAATGGCATCCACACAGAGATGATCCCCACCTTCTATATGAACCAGTATCTGTGATGTGTCTTCAATTGTGTCATATTAGTCTATGACAGTTATTGTGGGTGCTCTTGGGTAATGGTGGGAATGCTTTCTTAAGTAGAGCCTGAGATCTAAGTTTCTACCCCCGTGCCTTACTATAGCAGAGATGGGGATGGGAATCCATTCCAATAAGATGTGAGCAATCTCCAGGCTTTGTTTGGCTGTTGTGGGGAAGACAGATACATGATCTAACCTTTATTTGGCCTCACTTGAGTACACAAGACAGACCAGGGTCCTCTCTAGATTCAGATACTCTTTGTTGTTTCAGTCAGTTGAACAGGTTCATCTTAATAGTTAATTTTTGCTGCTACAGCAATGCTGTGTAACAATTTAGGAGAAACCATGAAGCAACTTCCCACCCGGAATTAGGAAATGGCTTGATCTGGAGTTCTTCTGTGTGACTGGCTGTTTTTGAAAACCCTGTCTACTCTAGTAGAGCAAGTTCCAAACACATTTGAGATTGTGGGCATAACAATATGAGGGAGTGTGATTGGGAGATCCCAGTCTCTTGAGGAGCCTGAGAAATGCATAAATGTGTGAACCCTTATTTTATGACGCCCCTATCTCAAGAGGAAGTCTCAATGACTTATCCTAAGGAAGCCAAAGTCTTTGTGCATGTTGTTCAGGCTGGACCAGCAAGGTAGTTTGTGTGGAGGGAGGAGGAAACTGTTTAAGAAGACTACATATGTAAGTTCTGAGAACACTGATCTATTTATTTGAAAAATAGGGTTAACTTTTACTCACCTGCCATGTTCTGAGTTTAAGGTTTGATATCCTTGGCCATCAACTGTTGCAGGGAAACCACCCTAAATAATGAAGAAAAGAAGTCGTCTCAGTGTAAAAAAAAAAGTGGTGGGCTTATTTTCTTTTCTTTTGTCTGTTGTTCCCTCTTTCCCCTTCCCCAGAGAGAAATTCTCAGAACAACTCAAAAAACAAAATGGCTTCCTAGTGAGGACATCAGTGATGCTCCTCTCCTCCATTTTGGGTACGGGCTTTTTTCTTTTTACACTGAGATGATTCTTCTTTCCTGCATTATTTAGGGTGTCTGATGCCATCAAGTGTTGCAGGAGAAACTTCAGTCTTGGCTGGTGAGTAGATTAGGAATTGCTGGCTGGGCTTGGGGTGGGGATTGGTGGGATGGTGGCTGGTTGGGAGCTACATTCTCCATCTGTTGGATGTGGAAGAGTGAGATTCCTTGGCGTTTGATGACACTGCTGTAGACATCAAAATGACAACACATTTCAGTTGTTTTTCAGGAACTACAGTAGCATCCATTATATGAATTGTCAGGTATTGGCTTAGGGCTTTTTGTGATCCTGAGTTTGTCAGACTGCAATGGCATTTTAGGTTCTTTTATACCATAGTGAGGACACTTGACTATGGCTTTGGTGAGGCCATAGAATGGATTCCTGTCACTTGGTAACTGTCTTATCTGGGGATAGACCGCTCGTCCTAGTGAATAGTTGGACAGTTGTGTGACTTTGGATTTAAGGGTGGTTCCACCCCTCCTCTTTTTCTTTTTCTTTTTCTTTATTTTTTCAGTTCCTTCTTGGAGGGACCACTCAGTAGAGCCTCTAAGGGACCCAAATCCTTCAGACATTTTGGAGGTAAGTACCAAGAACTGTTAACAAAGAGGATTGGAAACAATAGAATATAGGGGTGTGCAACTGGCCCTTGTTGGCACCTATAGTCTCAGCTACTTAAGGAACTAAGGCAAGATAATTACTTGAATTTAAAGATGCTGAGACTTGTCTAGGCAATATAGGGGGATCTTGTCTTCAAAAAAGGCACAGGGGGATGGGGGACTTTGATATATAACTGTGGATGGATTAAAAAGAAGACTTTAGACCAGAAAGGAAAGCCAGGAAGTGGTGGCGCATGCCTTTAATCCCAGCACTTGGGAGGCAGAAGTAAGTGGATCTCTGTGAGTTTGAGACCAGCCTGGTCTACAGAGCTAGTTCCAGGCCAGCCAGGGATACACAGAGAGACCCTGTCTTGAAAAACAAACAAACAAAAAGACCAGAACAGAACTTGAGGATAGTCTATATTTTTCATCTTATGGATGAGAAAAGTGGGTTCTAAAGTAATGAAGTCATTTTTCAAAATCAGTATTGAGATGGTGTTCCAAATTGAGGTAGGATCCATACTGAGTACAGAAGTTAAGCTGTGCCACTCAGCAGTGTAATTCTATGTTCCAAGCTTACTTGGTTATCAAAAAGTGGTTATTTTGAATTCAGACTCTTATAAAGTATAGAGGTAGGAAGAGTTTCTGGCCCTCTCACCAGGGTTTTAAATGACTTACCTGGGAAGTTATGGGAATTAAATTTGAAATTTAGGATTTTGGAAAGGATGGGGTAAGGACAGGAGTCCTCTTTTTTTTTTTTTTTTTTTTACCAGAAGGCTTACCTGATATCTATAGAACTCAGATATTTTTAGAACCTGAAGGTGAAAAATTTATATTCCTGAAAAACTGTGAGTTATTCCAACATTGTCATAAGTAGCTTACCCCTACTGTTCCTCTTCCAGAACCTAGATGACAGTGTGTTTTCAAAGAGGCATGCAAAACTGGAGCTAGATGAGAAGAGAAGGAAAAGGTAAGACCAAGACCCAGTCCTGGGAACATCTGAGCCTCAGGACTGAGACTCCCTCTTCCGTATTGGGGAGAGTCTTAGGGCACTTAGCTTTTATGTGTAGTACTAGTGTCCTAGTTAGCTGAGTATCTTAGCTGGGGCAGTTGTCCTTACAGACAAACAAATATGTTGGCCCTTTCTTCGATGCCTTCCCTCAGTACTACTTAGTGTTGAACAGCAACACATAATCTAGACAGCTAGACCCAAAGTGTTCTTCCTCATCCAGGCAGTCAGTTCCCTTTATCCCATCTAGAGGAGTTAAATAGGATCTTCTAGCATTTGGAGAATGGATTGTTTTTGTAGGATGGTCTTTAGGTAAGTAGTAATGCTGGGTTTGTTTCTGTTTGTCTGGTTTTTCCCAGATGGGATATTCAGAGGATCAGGGAACAAAGAATTTTACAGCGACTACAGCTCAGAATGTATAAAAAGAAAGGAATTCAGGAATCTGAGCCTGAGGTTACCTCATTTTTCCCTGAGCCAGATGATGGTAAGTTGTATCTATCTAAAAATGTAGAATTTGGGGCTGGAGAAATGGCTCAGTGGTTAAGAGCACTTCTGTTCTTGGAGAGACCACAGTTTGGTTTCCAGCACCCACATGGGCAGCTCAGAACTGCTCGTAACTCCAGTTTCAGGGGACCCAGTGTCCTCTTAGGACTCAGGGCACTGCACTCACGTGTACACACACACACACAGTCACATTCATAAACACATAATATAAAATAAAATAAATCAATTTACAAATGTAGACTTTCCAAGGAAAAAAAGGTGCAAGTCTCCACAGCACAGCTTTTGTTCTGATGAGTAAGCTGTGCTCTGGAGGTAATATATTGTTGGCATTTCTCACCTCTTGCTAACAAAGTCCCATGTGATTTTCTTCCATAGTTGAAAGTTTGATGATCACCCCCTTCTTGCCTGTTGTAGCATTTGGACGACCATTACCAAAATTAACTCCACAGTAAGTATAAAGGGTTTTTTATCGCTCCCTTTTCAAACTCTATGGAAGCCTAGATAAAATGGTGACCACATGGCTTTGATGACAAGCCAGGAAGTAGGAATGCTTTTAAGTTAGAAGTAGATGATCTTGCTACTTCCGTGATCAGCTGACTTTCGCTAGACTTTGAAGCAGCCTTCTTACTTTGCTCTCCTCAATTTTTTTTTTTTTTTTTTTTTTTTTTTTTTTTTTTTTTTTTTTCAAGACAGGATTTCTCTGTGTAGCTTTGGAGCCTATCCTGGCACTTGCTCTGGAGACCAGGGTGATCTCGAACTCACAGAGATCCGCCTGCCTCTGCCTCCTGAGTGCTGGGATTAAAGGCGTGCACCACCAACACCTGGCTCTTAAAAGGTTTATTTATTTATTATGTACACAGTTTTCTGTCTGCATGTATCCCTGCAGACCAGAAGAGGGTACAAGATCTCATTATAGATGGTTGTGAGCCACCATGTGTTTGCTGGGAATTGAACTCAGAACCTTTGGAAGAGCAGACAGTGCTCTTAACCTCTGAGCCATCTCTCCAGCCTCTCAATTTTTTTTTTTTTTTTTTTTTTTTTCCAGGAACTTTGAGCTACCCTGGTTGGATGAGCGAAGCCGTTGCAGGTTGGAGATCCAGAAGAAGCAAACACCTCACCGGACGTGTAGGAAGTAGCTGTGCTGGCAAGAACCCTGTCTTCAGATAGTTGTAGCATGCCGTTCCAAGAGAATGGCAGAGACCTGTATATGTGACCTATGTCCTCATGTATGTTACCACTCACTGGTAATGCCTTTCCATACCCCCTTCATTTTAGTTGTGTTTTCTTCACTCTGAGTTCACAAAACAAACAAACGAAACCTCTTGCATTGGGCTAATTGTGAATTCTGGAGAGTTATTGGCACTTCTTTTCCCTTTTTGGGGAAATGAGCTCTTGAGCTTGTCCTTTAGGGTGGTAGATTTGGGAGTTTCGGGAGCTACTTCTACTCACTTGCCTATATTAAAGGGGTACAAGGGCTCTTCATTAGCCATGTCAAAGATGGAGGAACCCCTGCCTTGTAGGATCTGTGCCTGCCCTGACCCTGTTGGTCCCTGGTGCACCTTCTGAATAGTTGGGGTATAGTAGATTTTACACTAAAATAAAACAAAAAGACCTTACCATGAGCTTCAGGGCCCAAGGAGGAATAACAAGATGAAGCAAGTCATCCTCGTAGAGGAAGAAATGAGAGCATTGTGTGAAAGTTGGTTCTCTTAAAACTATTCTTTGATAAAGGAAGTGGATAGATGTGTGGGGCCGATCACTTTCTTTATTAATGGGTAACTGAAGTTCTCCCCCCCTAAAAAATATTTAGAAAAAGAGATTGGGGATATAAGTTTACAACTAGTTACAGTGCTGAACAGATGCATTGTCATTTGGGGATGGCATGCCAGAATCTTTATAGATGTCCTTGTGTCACATCACTTCTCAAGTATTCCTTAGTGGGGTTTCATCCTATTAGCCAAACTTTGGTGGTGAGGTAGAAAATTTGGTGAGGGTGGGGGGTGGGTATGGAAAGATATGCTTCCTTTGGCTGGCAAATGTCTACATCTTGAAACAGTTGTACCTAATGAACCTCTATTCGTTAGTAAAAATAGATTTATACATGTACCATCTTGGTTCCCATATCCTGCCCTTGTTTTGTTCCCAAAAGAAAAAAAGAAAAAAGGAAAAAAAAAAAATCAGGACAGCACTCCCAGGCCACTATGGTCTCAATGTAAGATCCCTGTTAACTATCTGAAAGGAAAATAGAGCTGAGACCTCTGGTCTTATATATAGGAATTGCCTTTCATTAGTCTTCAGGACTATTGTATAAAAATAAGTAGGGGTCTAATCTCCTAGGAAGTAGGGGCTTTTATCCTTGAAGAGACTATGTCCCCGGATTATTAGCACTTTTAGAGGAGAAGCCAAGGTATGTAGGGTGTGTGGCTGACCTATCAGCTGAGCATGAGAGAATGGGATTGCCATTGTGGGAAGAGAAAAAAGTTCCTCAGGGGCCTCCCACTGCTAAAGCTTTTTTTGAGATGTTATCTCTGCTCCCTGGGTTTGACTTTGAAAGGAATTATTCCAGCAGTACATGTAGTATTCTTGGATAATCTTGCTGCTCTCAATTCTCTTTTGTGTGTGTTTGTGTGTGGCTATGGGTTTTTATTTGCAACTCCCATCTGCTTAGGAGTGTGGTCTCTCTGGAGCAGAAGCTGCTGTGAACTTCACTGCAGCAAGGATGTAGAGAGAAAGAGGACTTACTCCACAGAGGCTTTCATCTCACACCTTCAGGATGAGGATATATCTAGAAAAATTGGGCCAGATTTTTGTGTTTCTGTTTTTTCTAATGAGGCAAACTGGTTAGTGCTCCTACTCTGACCGATGTTATTTTTCTTTATAATGTGCTCCTCCCATAAGGAGTAACCTCAGTCAGTTGTCTCTTTTGTTTCGTGGTCCCTCTCAGTTTCTTCTTGCTACCATGATTTGTCAAGATTCCTATTTGGGGTATGGGTTAGCAGACCTAAGCTCTCACAGAGGAGTCAGCCCTCAGATCTTGTTTTTGCTCAACTGAGAGGAATCCATGAGGTGCTATCTGGCAGGATTAAGTGGATTCTATTGCTTTGGTTTTCCTTTCCCTGAGGAACTGATATTTTTTTATGTCCTCCTAGATTTTCTTGGTTTGGGTATGTTGAGGTTTGTTGAGAAGGAGGTTGAAGCAAAGTTCCAGGAGCGAAATTACAGTGTGTTAAGAGTGTGGGGAAAATTAGTTTTATTTTTCCCTACATGGGATACAACACTGTGAAATTCAGTCTTCAACAGAAAGGCCCTGCAGTTCTCCTAAAACATAGTTCTTATTTCTTTCTTTAACAAAGTTTAAGCTAGTGTTAATAAATTAAAAGAGAAATTGCTTGTCTCTCCACCTCAGCTTTGTTTTATGCCCGTTTCATATCGTTGTCTGTGCTGTAATTCATACTTTTGATACCATTTCTGATGTGTAAAGTCGGCTGTCTTGTAAATATCTTATAAAGAGTTCAATTGTAAATAAACTATTGTGGCCGTTAATTTTTGAACTTTTGCCTCAATTTATTAGATTTGTTGGGAAACATTAAATAATTCTGCTTGTATATATGAAATATTGGAAAATAATCTTATTCTCAAGTAAAATAGAATAACATTTCCCCCTTTTAATAAGGAACTCAAAAATTCTGTTTGTGTCAGAGTATGGTGTATTTTTCCTTTCCCTTGTCCTGAGTAAATTCCAAAGCTCATGGCAAGACCTACAGGTCATCTACTTAGCCTCTGATACATGATTTCTCCTGGATAACAGTCCAGACAAATCAACTGAAACTGTCTTCTACACACATTTTTCTGTATGTTTGAAAACCCTCATTGTAACTTGAACCTCTTGGTTCTTGTTTTGTGACTAGTTTGATGAGAAAAGATAAAATCTCTTCCCTCACAGTTTCTGTATTAAAGATGTCTGGCATCCCAGACCATCTACCCATGCTAAACATTCGCAGTTCTTATAGCTGTTTCTCTGAAAGAATGTCATCTCAAGCCCTCACAGCCAGGGTACTGGCTTCCAAATCAGCTTGTCTCAAAACAAAAGAAAGCTGGACCAACCAGAGTATGTTGGTGCACACCTGTAATCCTAGCACCCCGGGAGGGAGGCTGAAGCTGGAGGATCTTAAGTGAAAAGACCAGCCTGATCAGGGTCATAGACTCTTGAAGGGAAAAAAAAAAAAAAAAAAAAAAAAAAGGACTCAGACCAAACAACTAAAGGACAAAGTGGCAGACTATCCTTTTCCTTATTTAGACACTAAACTTGGCAGTCTTACTGCACCATTTTAGCTTGTGATGGATAAGACTTTTATGCCTTTCACACTATTAAATCTTGCATCCTCCATTTTGAATTCAGACAGTTAGCTTTGGAGCTGAACTCCATGACACATTTGTCTTCAGTTGAGAGAAACAGCCCCTGCAAACATTCATGATTCCTTATAGTCTCACACTGTAAATCTGGTAAGCAGCTCAGAATCCAGTTACCTCACGGCGACTTGATGTATATTATTAATGTGCACTAATAACTTAAGTTTACGAACTATGTTAATTCGAGATAGCAGTACTGAGTTATTTTTTCACGGCTCACAAATGCGTTGCCCAAAGCATTTTCTGTCAGAGAACAACAACACATCAGGATTTTAAACACGAGATTTCTAATACCCCTAGACATCTTTTTCTTTCTTTTCTTTTCTTTTCGAGACATGATTATTCCAAAACTAGCTTCAGTGTCCTACCAACCTGAACTTGTAAAACTGTGGTAACCAGGTTGGTAAGACACTTCGAGAAAGGAAATTTTGAATACACACAGAAGACACCAATTTAGTTCTGTGTCTCCACTGCAGTTTCTCCTTTCCCCTCAATTTAGACCTAGGTGACGCAGGACTAAGGCTTTTTCACCTGGATTCGTGATTTTATCATGCTAAGGAATAAATGCAGTAAAATGCTGTCTAAAATTCAGGGGGAAACGAGAAATGGAAAATGAAAATCATGCAATAGCTCCAACGCCGCAGCGGAGCAGTAACAGGTCGAAGCCCTCCCCAAGGAAAGCCCAAGATGGCCGAGCTAAGCGCCCACAGAAGCTGCAGGAGACCGAGCCCCGCGCCCTACGCCCGCCCGCACCGGGGAAATGAAGGGCCGGGCCACGCCCCCTTACATCACCGGCATACGTCATCTCGCTCTCCCGAAAACGTGCCGCAGGGCGCAGGCCCCGCCCCACGGAAAGAGGGGCGGCCCGCCCTGGACGTGAAGCACGCCGGGACTCCTCTCGAGCCTCCCGGCAGCCTCTGCGACGGGCGTGGTGCGTAAGGTGCTGACCAGCGGTGGCCGTTCTCCGTAAGATGGCGGACCGGCGTCGGCAGCGCGCTTCCCAGGACACTGAGGACGAAGAATCTGGTGCTTCGGGTTC